CTCATATGGACCGGGAGCCGATACAGCTCCAAAGCCCCGCCCGCAGCCAGAGCCTTCGGTGCGTCCCAAGGACTCGTGACATCAGCGATACCCGCCTCCCAAGCAGCACGGACCCCGTGCGTCAGGGAAACCGGCCAAGGATGCCCAGTCACATTCCTGACGGACTTCAGGGGAAGAGGAGTCTGAAGTTTGACAACAGTGACAGCCCAGCAGCAAAAAGAGGCTGTGTTCTGCATGTTCCCCACGCCTCCCCACCAGTTGCGGAGGGCGAGGACAAAGAATGTTGTTCTGTGTTTGTTCCACATGTTTGTGCAATAAAAACCAAACAACCTCACAAAAAGAGCTTTTTTCCTCTTCCCGCTGTCACTCACACTCACATCCTTCACAGCCCCCTGTCACTCAGCAGCGAGCTGTCAGTTCCTGTCACGCTGAAGCCTCTCTCACAGTTTGCGGAAGTGTGGAGAATGCTACCAGGTATATCAGAGTGGGTGTTGAACAAGATAATAAGAGGTTACATGCTTCAGTTCGCATGCAGACCACCCCGGTTCAATGGCGTGGTAACATCGGAAGTTCAAGCCACAAACGCTCCAGTTCTAAGAGCAGAAATACACAATCTCTTCGCCAAAGGAGCCGTGGATTTGTGCCTCCTGAGGAACACGAGACCGGTTTTTACAGCCGCTATTTTTTAGTTCTAAAAAAGGATGGCGGTCTTCGCCCTATCCTAGATCTGCGTCGTTTGAATCGCACTCTAGCAAAACGCTCATTCAAAATGATTACACTGAAACGAATCCTATCGCTCGTTCAGCCCCGGGACTGGTTTATTTCAGTGGACCTAAAGGATGCTTATTTCCATATCCAGGTAGCCCCTTGTCACAGGCGTTTTCTGAGATTTGCTTTCGAGGGAGTGGCCTATCAATTTTCAGTACTCCCCTTCGGCCTCTCCTTAGCTCCACGCACTTTTACCAAGTGCATGAACGCAGCCCTCTCCCCTCTTCGATTGACTGGATTGTGAGTAGCAAACTACCTAGACAACTGGTTAATTATGGCTCCCTCAGTGAGCGAGCTCTGTAACCACAGGAATTTTCTCATCAGCCACCTCCAGTGTCTAGGGCTCACAATCAATGTGCAAAAAAGCCAGCTGCATCCCACGCAAAATATTATTTTCCTTGGTGTGAGTCTGGATTCTATATCTATGCGAGCCGGAGCGCTCGAGAGCCATCATGAACTCCCTAGCGGTGTTCAAGGAGGGAAAGTTACGCCCCCTATAATGCTTTCAGAGAGCTATGGGTCTGATGGCAGCCACCTCAGCGGTGTGCTGCTTGGGGCTGCTTCAGATGCGGCCGTTTCAACTATGGTTGAAGACACGCGTTCCTGTATCAGCCTGGCACACAGGTTCGATGTGTATATTAGTAACGCGCAGATGTTTAGAGACTCTGGCCCCTTGGATGGACCCAGTTCTCTATGCGCAAGGTGTCCCACTTGGTCAGATTTGCGAGAGAAAAGTTATCACGACAGATGCTTCCTGCATCTGGACAGCATCCGGCATTTGGACAGCAGAGGAGAAAAAAAATGGAACATAAACTGCCTGGAGCTCACGGCAGTTCACCTGGCACTCGAGAGTTTTTATGCTCAAGTTAATCACACACATGTTCTCATCCGCACGGACAACATGTCAGTGGTAGCGTATATAAATCGCCAGGGATGCATTCGCTCGCGACGAGCCTATTACTGTGGGCGGATCAGCATCTCTTATCGATTCACACCGTCAATGTCCCCGGCCACCTGAACCGCGAGGCAGACATGTTATCCAGGCAAAGAGTGAGTCAGGGGTAGTGGAGACTTCACTCCCAGACCATGAGCATGATCTGGAATGTATTCAGACGAGTGGACTCAGCGGAGATAGACCTTTTCGCATCAGCGGAGAACACTCATTGTCCAAGGTTTTTTTTCCATGACCGAGCCCTCCACTCTGGGAGTGTACACGCTCGCCCACCCTTGGCCGAGAGCTCGCAAGTATGCTTTTCCTCCAGTGAACATCCTGCATCCGGTGCTGTGCAGAATCAGACAGGAAAAGGAGCCAGTTCTGCTAGTTGCGCCGAAATGGCCCACTCAGCCCTGGTTCCCGGACCTTCTCGAGATGTTATCGAGCCCTGCCTGGCCTATTCCTCTAAGGAGGGACCTCCTCTCCCAGGCAAACGGCTCAATCTGGCACCACAACCTGGCGCTGTGGGACCTGCATGTCTTGCCGCTCAACAGAGCCCGTCCACTTCAGCATCGTTACCTCAGCAAGTGATGAGAACCATTTCTGAAGAGAGACCCGTCCACCAGGCGCCTATACGCTCATAAATGGAAAGTTTTCACGAATCGGTGCAGTTCAAAGAACATAGATCCAGCCACCTGCTCGATCTCATTCATTCTGTCATTTTTACAAGAGCGCTTGGATGACGGCCGCACGCCCTCCATGCTCAAATTATACGTAGCTGCGATCTCAGCCTTTCATAATGGTATTGACAAACAGCCAGTTGGCAAGAACAATTTAGTGGTTAAATTTCTCCGCAGCGCAAGGCAGCTCAACCCTCCCCGCCCGACCACAATCCCCGCCTCGGACTTGACTTTGGACCTGGACGCCCTGACACACCCCCCTTTCGAACCGCTGCAGTCAGCCTCACTTAAGGTGCTCTCTCTCAAGACAACGCTTCTGCTTGCGCTTGCTTCTGTCAAGCGGATCGGGGATTTACATGCTCTCTCAGTCAGCGAATCCTGTTTGAGCTTTGGTGTTAATGACCGTAAAGTCATTCTTAAGTCAAGGAAGGGCTACGTGCCTAAAGTGCTTTCAACACTGTTCAGGAGCCAAGTGATAACTCTCTCAGCTTTCACCCAGAGTGAGCCTGTGGACGGGGAAAGACCCCCTCCACAGCCGCTTCACCCTGTGCGCGCTCTGCGCATCTATGTCGAGCGCACCAAGAATTTCAAACTCTCAGAACAGCTCTTTGTGTGTAACGGCGGTCGTACTAAAGGTCTACCGGTATAGAAACAGAGGCTATCTCATTGAGTCGTGGACGCGATAGCCCTGGCTTATGACACACAGAATACAAATTGTCCCATCGGGGTGCGTGCCCACGCCATGAGAAGCATCGCTTCCTCCTGGGCATGGGCAAGGGGTATATCTATGGAGGAAATCTGCTTGGCAGCAGGATGGGCCTCGCAGAACACCTTTGCCAGGTTTTATAATTTGGACGTTTCTTCGCTAGCTTCTCGGGTCCTTTCAGTTCAGGAAAGCTAAGCGAGGTAAGATCTCTGATTATTACCACTGTTAGACCACCTCGCTCGGTGCGGGTTTCCACTAGGTCCAATAGACTCTTACGTCAGGCACCGCCTGCGCTTTCATCTCTAGTTCTCACCATGGTTATTGTTGTCGGGCCTCTTATGTTATTCTCTGAAGCACCGAGTCGGTCGCTCGCTGCATTAATGCAATGTATCATATATCACTGGCTTAGTAGCCCTTGAACTCACATTGCTTCGTTCCAGGACACACTATCGGAATGTGCAGTTTTTTTAACCTGTGTGTGTTTATATGTGTGTTTGCTTCTCTTAGGACTTGCAATGCACCGTGCCACTTTTAATATCTCAATGTGGTTCTCTTGTTAGTAAGCACTGACTGTCACCACTTCTATCATTCTATAGAACGTTCATTCTCATTTAGTGACTACCTGGGCCCCGCCCTCCCTTCTAGAGCACGGGGTTTCAACCAGGTCCGCTGACATGCAAATATAGGGAACCTTTTCACTTGATTCTGATTGGCTCTAGCGAGTCTGTCAAGGGATATCCCCGCCTGCGCGGCGTGTGCCCTTTTCTACTTCAAACTGCATTGTGTCTCCATTTTCTAGCTGAAAGACCTTTGCAGTAGACACATCGTGACTGTATATGTTCCCCAATGTCGAGACATTTCGAAAGGAAAGTAACCTCGGTTCCCTGAGAAGGGAACAAGACGTTTTGTTCGTGCTGTGCCACCTTCGCTCAGGTCTTATCGAAGATTCTGAGGGAAATGGCGCCAAGCACTGGATTATAAGGGGCGCCACGCCCCCCAATTTTCACGCGCTTGAGCGAAGCGCTGATCAGGCTTCAGTATTCTAAGGAGAAAGGTGTTTCCCCAATGCGTCAGCAAAGCTGTACGCAACGTCTCATTCTCTTCTCAGGGAACCGAGGTTACGTTCAGTAACCAGGGACGTTTTCCCGCATCTGATGTTAACCATGCCAAGTTGGTCGGTGAACAAAAGTGTAATTTCCTTCATGTATCCAATCCAAAATCTAACAACGACCTTGCCAATAGAAGATAAACAATTTTGATTTTTAGATATTTTAGTGAACAGAGCATTCTCAGCGATTAGACAATAAAAGTGCGATTAAAATCCTATAGACCAGCTTGACTCCAAAGCCCCCTTTTGTTCGAGATTATTTTAATAAATAATAAACCATTTTAAGACATTGCCTCTCTGTTTTAGTATAATAAAAATCTACATTCAGTTAGATTTTAATGCACTGTTGGATCCTACTACCTCTTACGTGTCAAATCTAATCATCTTGCTCATTATTTATTGCAAACTGAGTTCTGACTGTGCAATAACGCAATAGTCTGTGAAAGTGTTTTGCTGATATAAAGGTGCAGCAGTGGGGCTCCGAATCAGGCCGTCCCATGCCAGCTTCTGCTATACACAGTCTGTTTGGGTTCATCTGCAGTGGCGGATTCAGTTTCATGTTATGCAGTTTGGTAGCGAACTGAACTCTGCATGCAGTGTCTCTGGCCTGAGTTACCTTACTCAGTGATTCTTTATGTCCTTATATTGGTCTTGCTTGCCCTCTGGTGGATATTTTGAGTTAGCACCGTTCACTAAAAATCCACTTGAATACATCCTCATTTAGAATCTGACATTAAGATGAAGACATATTGCAGTTATTTAGTGACATATTTTAATCGTTCTTCTCTCTCTTCCTCTGTCTAGCTCTTAAGTGTAATTGCACTGCCTGTGAGAGCAGCGGTTATGTCTGTGAGACTGATGGGGCCTGCATGGCCTCTACATCCCACATTAAAGGTCAGGAGGAGGAGCAAGTTCGGATCTGCATTCCCCGTGTCAACCTGGTACCACCTGGACAGCCCATCTACTGCTTGAGCGCCAAAGGCCTGTTCAACACACACTGCTGTTATACGGACTTCTGCAACAGCATCAACCTCCAGATTCCCAGCGGTAGGTGTACAGGCCAAATACACTAGTGTTAAAAAGTTTGTTTGTTTGTTTGTTTCTTTACCTTTTTAATGTATTCAGTTATTTAAATATGTGACCCTGGACCACAAAACCAGTCATATGGGTCCATTTTAATTTTTAACAGCTGAATAAATACGTTTTCCATTGATGTATGGTTTGTTAGGATAGGACAATATTTGGCTGAGATACAACTATTTGAAAATCTGGAATCTGAGGTTGCAAAAAAATCTAAATATTGAGAAAATTGCCTTTAAAGTTAAAGTCCAAATGACGTTCTTAGCAATGCATATTACTAATCAAAATGTAAGTTTTGATATATTTACAGTAGGAAATTTACAAAATATCTTCATGGAACATGATCTTTACAATGATTTTTGGCATAAAAGAAAAATTTATCATTTTGACCCATACAGTGTATTGTTGGCTATTGCTACAAATATACCCGTGCAACTTATGACTGATTTTGTGGTCCAGAGTCACATACTGTATGTCTGTCAAACACTGAGCTGAATGTGGTGTAGAGCCTGTTTTGAACATCCATGACTTTGCGTTTATCAAATATGGTCTTTGAAATATAAACTCAGTTAATAGAAAGAATTCAGCTATGAGTCAGAGATAAAGTACATCCTTTAAAGTAGGTGGATAATATCTAAATCTTTTGAGTGAGTCTTCAGTGAACTGTAGCTTTAACTAAATTCAGTTAAAGGTATAGTTCTCTCAAAATGGAAAAAGTGGCTTTAAACCTTAAAAGTATAGTCTGTATGGCTGATGCACCTTTTTAAATTGTTCTGGAGCTTTGTGTGCCTATAAATATGCAAATATTTTAAATAATATAAATGAAATTGGAGAACTATGGCAGCTTAAATTTCATTCTGGCTTCAAAAGACCTGGGGCCTTATTTTAACGATCCAAGCGCATGGTCTAAAGCGCACAGTGCAGGTGCACTTAGGGCGTGTCCGAATCCACTTTTGCTAGTTTAACGATGGGAAAAACGGTCGGCGCGCCAGGCGCATGGTCTAAAAGGGTTGTCCCTATTCTCTTAAAGGAACATGCCACTATTTTTGAAAATAGTTTTCGTTTTCGAATCCATTCAGCCGATCTCCGGGTCTGGCAGTAGCACTTTTAGCTGCAGCTTAGCATAGATCATTGAATCTGATTAGATCGTTAGCATCTCGCGCAAGAATGACCAAAGAGTTTCGATATTTTTCCTATTTAAAACTTGACTCTTCTGTAGTTACATCGTGTACTAAGACCGACGGAAAATGAAAAGAAAGAATTTTCTAGGCCGATATGGCTAGGAACTATACTCTCATTCCAG